GAGTTCGAAGGCTGCCCCGACCTGTACCAGCGCGTGCGGGTGAGCGTCGCGGTGCTCGAGCCGGAGGGCGTCTCCGAGGAGCCCCCGGCCGCCGAAAGGCGCCTGCAGTGCTTCGTGTACATCACGGCCACCTACCCGCCCGAGTGGGCCCAGCTCCCGCACCTCGACAATTACGACGTGCAGGGGGCGCACGGGCTCCCCTATAATCCACGGGAAAACAGATAAAAGCCCGAGGAGTGCTCCCTAGCCAGGGGACACACAGAGCCCTGAGGATAAGATCACCCCAGCGTGGTGTGCACGCACTGAATGGAGAAGCCCAATGATGTCCTTTGAAACAAATATTTGTAAAACTCCATCTGTGGGAAAAGAAAGACTCTCTTTCTTTTACTGTCAGCCAATTTCCTAGATAATTTTGACATACCAATAACAAGATTGTGCCCTTAAATCTATCCATCCCATACGGCTTTATTGCTTGCTGCTTAAAGAGCATTAGGTTTTTGAAGGTACTGGGTAAGACAAATTTAGGATTTTAATTCCCCTAAATGGCATTTCAGGAACTCATATGTTATCATACTTTTCTTGCTTCTCTGTCTGCTTTGCTTTAATCTGAAGATGACATTTAAAATGAATGTGAAGACTTTGTGTTGCAGCTAGATTTTAGCAGCCCTACTCTATTGATTCTGACCTGTATAGCACCAAGAAAAAAAAATGCTAAGCTGATCTTGGATGTCTCAGTGTAATAAATAATAAAAGAAACTCAAGAAAAGCATGCTGCATTTTAGAGTAGTTTTGGAGGACATACAACATTTTTCTTCACAATTTTCAGATCAAGCTTATTAAAGAGACTATTAAAGATGATCATTTAAAATTAAATGTTTTAGAAAATAAAATAAAAAATTGGACTCCCAGCTCAATTTACTGGTGGGGAAAAGGAGGCCTGGTCTCAGATAAACGGAGGGGAGCCAGAGCAGCCCCAGACCCCCGTATTCTCAGCAGCTTTGGTCCATCTGTCAAAAGTGCCACTGATCGGTGGCATTTCGTCAAAAGCACTTGGCACACAGTAGGTGCTCAGATGCAGGAGTCTGAGGAAGGAGGCTGATGGCTGGACAGACCGGGGATGGGTGAGGAAGGCAGGCCTCCGCCATCAGGGCGGGGAGCACCCTCCAGCCCCTCTGGGGAGCGAGGACATGGGTCAGACCCTGGGGGTTCAGCACACCCCTGCCGCGGTCCCTTCTCCAAGCCTCGGAGACCAGGCTCCCTAAGCGCTCGGGCAGCAAGGACGGACCCTCCTCGGGGCTGGAATTGCACCCCAGAGGCGGGGATCGAGGAGCGGGAAGCGCCCTCTACGGGGCCTGAGTTTCTTGACACTCTGCAGTCCTCCAGGGGAGAGCGGAGGCCAGAAACTAAAGATTTCAAACGCGGTTCCGAATCTAGCGGCACCGAATCTCCTGGGGCGGGGGCCGCCCCAGGCGCCCCTGGAGACGCTGCGGGACGGGGACCTCCCTGGGCGCCCCTGTG